CACCCGCGCCCCCCCCCCCCCCCAGCCAAGGGAGCAGCCGTGCTGCGCTGGCGCCATCGCCTGGGTGCTGCTGGCCGTGCAGCGGGGGCGTTTGGGCCTGAGTCTGTTCACCGAGCCGGATAGGGCAGCAGAAACACACCGAACGGTGCTTCCTGGAAATCGCCTGGCCAGCATCGTCAAGGTGAGGGGGGGGCTGAGCCAATGCAAGGGCAAGGGAGGCAGTGTGGCCTAGTGGATAGAGCAGAGACCCTCAGGACTCTTGCATTCTAGTTCCAGCTCTGCCTCTGGCCTGCTGGGTGTCCTTGGGCAAGTTTCCCCCCCCCTCCCCACTCTGTGCCTCAGTTTCCCCCGTGGCCAAGTTAATAAATCGATCTGGGTCTCATTGTGCTTGGTCCGATTCTCTACCCCCGCTACGACTCCAACCTCACTACCCCTGGCAGCTCCGCCGTGGCAGGGTTCTTGTCCTGTGATCTGGAGCCAGACGTGCTGTGGGCTGCTCCCATGCGAGCAAGAGCCTTCCCCCCACAGCTGCACCTGGCCCATCTCAACCCGGTGTCCAAGGGCCAAACACCCGGCCTTGGGGCACAGGGCGAGGCCTGTGGCCAGCTCGTTGGCCATGGGATGCCCAACCCACCCTGGAGAGACCCTCCCCAGCAGCTGGCTGCTTTGGGCCTGCCTGAGGATCCTGCCAGGCTGCTGGCCAGGAGCCACCTAGGTAAGTGCCTGTCTTGGCACCCCCACCCTGCCCCAGGTCACAGCCTCCTGCCAGACCCGGCACCCCTCCCTGGGCCTCGGCGCCCACACCACCACCATAGGAAGCTGCTGTCTTTGGCCACTTACAACATCTTGATGTGCCCCCCCATGGAAACTTGTCCCCCTCTGCCCTAGAGGGGCGCAGGCGGCGGCTGGGTGGGTCCCGCAGTCGACAGGCCAGGTGGGAGTGGCATAGAGACCATCTCAGCCGCCATGTCAGTTTCCTGGGGGCTGCTACCCACAAGCCCTGCCCACCTTGGGCTGGAGCGGGCAGTCTGGTACCCCCAGCTGGCTTGCTGGGGAGAGTCCAAGTACCGGTGTAACGCAGGGGCCCGGCGCGGGGGGAGGCAGGACCCCTGGCATTGCTGGAACTGTGCGCACAAAGCAGGCACCCAGCTGCACGGCCCCGTTGCCTAGAATTTTGCCCTTTAAAGAGTCAGAGTTAAGTATCAACACCCTCTGCCAGACAAACATGGGTCATGCCATCGCCCCAAGCAGTGTCCAGGGACACCCCCCGCGGAAGGGACGTTGGTTAAGAGCAGGTTTCGCAGCTCTGGCCTAAGGCACTGGCCAGCACCGGCTCTGCCTGCCGCAGACGCACCACCGTGGTGCACCACGCAGCCAATGAGCAGGTGCATGTTATGAGGCTGTGCAGCACCCGCGCCAGTTTGGCTCAGGTGCAGCCTGCACAGGGTGCAGCCCTGTTCCCATGCTGCGGCCCCCTGCCCCAGCTGGCAGACAGCTCCGATCAGGAAAAAGCCGTGCGCTCCACAGCTTGTCTGGCTCAGCGCTGGCCACCCGGGGCCGGCGCCTGCTTCTGAGTGAGCCCAGTGCTCCTGGAGCTCTCAGCCCCCCATGGCCGTGGCTGGAGAAGCAGCGTGCCGCCCCGGCTGGGCCCCCTTCCCCTCGTGAGCGGACGGGGCGATTACCCGGGTGCACGGAAACGTTATGAAGGCCGGCTGCACAGAGCAGCTTGTAAAACACGAGGCAGGAAGAGCAGTTGGAGGTCCCGCGCCAGGCCAGGGCTCGGCCGAACAGCGAGGACTGGACACCAACAAGCCAGTCTCCGCAGGAGCCGTTAGGCCCCACCGGTAGGGCGGGAAGGAGCTGGCGCACGAAGCGCCCCAGTCCTTTAGAAGCAGCATTGGGGGCAGACCAGCAGGCTGCCATTCCCGTTGCTCGGTCTTTGCCCGGCCATCCTCCATCTGCAACAGGGGCAGCTGCGCTGATCTGGGCCTCCCAAGCATCCCGGCCACGAGGGGAGACTCCTGGCCCCGTTTCCTGCCTCTCCGCTTTGTGCCTGTGGCCCCTGGCACCAGCACAGGGCCATGAGAGGGGCCAGAGTAGGCCCCTGTCCCTGCCCCACCAGGGATGGCTGCTGGAAGAAAACTAACCGGGTTCTCTCTCAGAACTGGAATTTGAGGAGCACAAGCTGCCGTTGTTTCACAAACGCTCCCCCGAGGGCTTGACTTTGGCTCCTTTTCTCTTGTGTGCACAGCCAGGCGGCTCCGGCCTTTGGCACTTGTGGCTGGTGTTTGCCCTGGAGCTAGGCAGGCTGAGCCACCCCCCCTCCTTTGAACCTGGTTTCAGGGTCTCCCAAACACCAGTGGCTCCTGGGCCCACATACTGCACAGGGCCGGCCGTGCCCAGACAGGTACAAAGGGAAACGGGGCAAAGCTAAGAGAGGTGATTGAGAGGATGAGGCCACTGGGGGAGACAGCGAAGGAAGCAAATGCGGCCGTGCGGGGGGGCCGGCGCGTCTCCCTTGCACGTGTGCAGGGCTAACGGCGCACGCTGGCCCACGCAGGGGATACAACGCACCACACCCCCCTCCGGTAATTGCTGCTTTACTCCCTCCAAAAAGCATGTCAGACAAGGATCTAAGCACAACCCCCAGGAGAAACAGTTTGCAAGGAAGCCCCACACCTCCATCTGCTCTGCAATGCTCTGGTAGCGCCGTGGCACTGGTGGGTTTAACATGGCAGTGATGAAAGGTGCAAAAGGCAGAGATAGGGCAGGCAGCTCGGACCAGGCCCGGGCTCCCCCCTCCGATCGGGCTGCTCACTCGCCAGTTCTCAGTCCGGCCATCCCTCCCGAGGAACCATTCGCAGGCGATCTCCTTGCAGGACCGGAGCTTCCTTCCGAGGCACAAAGCGCTCCCCCCGCCCCAACGCGAGAGAGGAGAGACCCGGGGGACACGCCGCCAGCACCACCGCAAACCCGTCCCCTCTGCCGCACGCTCGCGATTCCCACCAGGGAGACATTTCCGGTTGCTAGCTAAGAGGGGCAAGTGACTGACTGGGAATTTCACACCGCGCTGCTGCCGTCCGCCTGGTTTCAAGCGGACAATACAAGGCTGCGGATCACACGGCTTAAGCAGAACCAGCATTGGTTGGGACGCCAATCAACGAGCCACCCTCACTCCCTAGGCAGCCCCCCCGCCGCCGGGCTCTGCGCAAGCCGCGCGGTCCGCAGCCTGGCGCCAGCCCTACGGCTGTGGGGTGTAGCGGAGGTACTTCTTGCCCGACGGGAGCTCCTTGGTGAAGACGCCGTCAGGAAACATCTTTTTGGCCTCGTCATCCGGCATGCTGGGCACAACCATGACTCTGTCGCCACGCTGGGAAGAGGGGGAGAGTTCAGAGAAAGGGAGGGGCACGCCCCCGGGGCATATGGAGACGCCCCCTTCATCTCCCGCGGAGGGGAGAAGTTCAATAAAAACCCCAGTGTCTGAATTCTCTCTTGAAATCCCGCCCCCCAGCCTCAGGCCCAGGGCAGAGAAGAGAAAACGTTTGCCCTGGGGTTTCAGGGCAGCAGGGTGCCCGAAGCAGGATCGGCACGCTAAGGCCTCAGCCTCCCCTAGTCAAGCTAGAAGCAGCACTCCCTTCACGCTGCGCTCACGCCTCCCACGGCCAGGGTTGGGGACACGCCAGCCCGCTCGGGGACCGGAGCAAGCCCGAGGGACGCCAACCGCCAGAAGATCTCACGGACAAGGCAGCTGAGTGCCGGATGCCTTATGGGAGAGACGGCCCCTTCCCCACGTTCTGCAGGCCAGAGTGCGCCTCGGTTTCCCCAGGAAAAGCTCTGGCAGCCGTACCATGGCTCTGACGCGGGTCACATAGGAGCACCAGAGCAGTCAGCGCCCGCCACAAGACAACACGGGCCTCCTCCCTCCTCAGATGGAAAATCCCACTGGACCGGCTAAGCACTGTTTAACCGGCTTGGTAAACCGTAATCGGGTGGGTGGTGCTGACCGGTTAACCAGGAATTCTCCCGGCCTGCATGTGCCGGGAACAAGGAGTCTGCTGCCCAGCTTCACTGAACCCTAGGGCCAGGCCCTGGGGCTCTCAGGGCGCCAGAGAGCTTTACCTTCCAGTCCACCGGGGTGGCGACCTTGTTCTTCGCGGTCAGCTGCAGGGAATCCACCACTCTCAGGATCTCGTCGAAGTTCCGGCCAGTGGTCGCTGGGTAGAGGATGGAGAGTTTCAGCTTCTTATCTGGGCCAAACACAAACACCTGGAGAGCAGACGGAAGAGCCACTCTGGGAATCTGACAGACACGGAACCAGAACTGACCCGTAACGGTGCCAGACGGGGTTCCAGGACCGAGACGCCCTCATCCAGCTAGGACCCTGCTTCCTGCCAAGCAATCCCTGCACCACGATCCCACACTCCCCCCTGCCAGGAGGCAGGCCTGGGGCCCGGAGCAGTGCTATTTACATGGCCAGCACCACGCCAATTACAGCGAACGGACGCCTCTCGTGTAGAGGGAAGCCGCACCCACACGCACACGCAGGGGGAGGGGGCATCGGCTCATGCCACAGCTAGTATTGAGGAGTGTGGGTTATTTTACCGGGTGGTGCACTACTGCCTCAGCAGGTCTCTCCCGGGAAAGGGAAATTCTTGTCTTTACACGAGTGCTGGCGGGAGGAGACCGTCCCAAAACAGCGTTTAACATGCATCAGGGCCCTTCCCCCTCCACCCGTTTAATTCTGCCCCTTGCCCGTGGGAGACCCCGGCCAGGGCACGCTGCCCACTCCATCACGCTCAGTACGACAGGGCCACCCCACTACCCCAGGCTTCTGCTCCTCAGCCAGCATCCCAGCTGCAGGGGGCCCCTACTCAGGCCCAGAGGACGGGACTCACGGAGCGGCGTTCCCCCACCTGGCTGCTGCACTGGGGTAGCGAGCTAATGCACACACGGCCCCCCGGCTCTGCCACAACCCCCCGCAGCCTGCCCTCACCACCCGCGCCGTCAGGGGCATGCCCTCCTTGTCCCGCTCGTCGGGGTCCAACATGCCCAGCTGCACCGCGAGCTCCCGCTTGGCATCGGCAATGATGGGGAAGGGGAGCGTCTCCGTGGGCGGGTCACCGTTGTAGGCGTTGATGTCCTGGAGGAAGGGAGAGAAAGCGCGGGCATGAGCCAGGCTCGCTGGAGTCAGGGCTGCCAGGGGAAAACATTCAGGACCAACTGCACCAGCAGCATCCCCGGCTTTCAACGTACGTAGCCAGGGCAGAGGCGACGGAGACGCTCGGCTCCGGCTACCTTAGATTTCTGGGTGGAGGATCCTCCGCGAACCAAGGTTTCGCCTAAGCCCGGTGCGGTAGCTACCCTTTGGGAGCGGCACGAGGGCCGAGGCGGAGGAACAAGGGCTAACCGTGCAAGAACTGCTCACTCCTACGGGTGCTGGCACAGGCGCCCTCTCCCAGCCGCCCCCACGCTGGCTGGGCGCCCGTAAGAGCCTCACTGGAGCGTGCACGTGCCAATCCCGCCCTGGCGCAGTCAGGCGCCCGCAGAGCTCTGGCACGAGGGGTTTCCGGGGCGGGGAGAGCACTGCCTGGCTGCACAGAGGCTTGCCCTTGCACCCAGTCACACTCTGCTGTGGGCTTTCCTGCCCACTGGGGCTCAGGCTCCCCCTTTCCTCAGCACTGAGGCGCTCACACTGGTGCTCCAGGCCTACATCCCACCCTGCAGCTTCCCCCACGGGGCTTGAGCACCAGCATTGCTCCCCACTGTGTGTGTGGGGGGGAGGAGCTCCCAGTGCCTCCCGGGCCAGTCAGGCAGGCCAGAGCCGACCCACGGGGAGGAATCTGTTCAAGGCCCTGCCGCTCCCTTTCCCCGGGAGGCACAGTAAAGCATGGCCTGGGGGCTCTTCCTCACAATCTATGAGCCCAAGCCCCTCTAGGCACTGGTGTGCAGGGGAACGTGGGGAGGGCCTTTCTGCTTCTCAGTTGGAGGCCGCCTCAGTGAGGGCTTTTTGTGGCCCAAATCCAAAAGGGTCCCCGCCCGGGCTGTACATGCACAGGGTGTTCCCCCCCCCGGCTCTGAGAGCACCTGTCAGTGCGGTGTACCCTACACCTAACCAATGGGCTTCCTATTTGGTCCACCTGTGTGGAATGAATTTTGTTGTGCGCACCAAAGCACATGCAGATGTGCACCACCCATAGAAACACATGCTGCCGGCTTTGCTCCTCCACAGGGTGGTATTTGAATCACACAGTTCCCTGCTGCCACCTCCTCACCCAACCTACCTTACACCAGGCGAGATGCTCGCTGACAGTATCGATAGAGAGGGCGATCATCTTCACATTGCGCTTGCTGAACTCAGGGGCCAGCTTTGCGGCCCGGCCCAGCTCCGTCGTGCACACGGGCGTGAAGTCCCGCGGGTGGGAGAAGAGGATGCCCCATCTGAAAGCGAGCACAACAGGAGAGACACAGGGTGAGCCCAGGTTCTGACCAGGAATCTGCTAGATACACCAAGAAACGCCCAGCTGCCCGCAGTATGTAACACTCACTAGCCCCAGGAACAAAGGAGCAAGGAACTGTTGTTAGAGTCGCCGCCTTGGGGCTCCGTCATCGCAGGGGGCTGGATGAAGCGAGTCTTGCTGAACAGGGAGCCTGCCTCAGACCCACTGCGCCACCAACCGGGTGGGAGGTCAGATCCCAGCCCCCACCCTGAGCCAGTGCCCCACATCCCCCTCATATCCCAAACTCCTTCCTGCACCCCTAGCCCTGGCCCCCTCCCAGAGCCAACAAGCCAAATCCCCTCTTGTACCCCAACCCCTGCCCAAGGCTCAGCCCAGAGCCCCTTCCCACATCCCAACCCCTGCTCCAGGCAGTGAAAGGGAGAGTGGGGATGGAGTGAGCTGGGCAGGACCTGGCGGGGAGGGGGGGGAGGGATCTTGGGTTTCCCTTAGAAAATGATGTAGGGCATAAAAAGGTTGGAGCCCTCCTCCCCCCCCCTTTTTACTCAGGGCTTGTCCTCAGTAGCTACTGAAATGCTTCACAAGTGAGGCTGGCATCTCTGAACCTCTTAGATGGGGAAACTGAGGCACCCAGCGAGGCTAGGACTTGTCCATGGTCACCAAGCAGGTCTGTGTCCCAGTACAGGGCGCCAGCTGGGGAAGGACCGTTTGAAAAGTGGCGCCAGAGCTCACCTGAGCAATGGGCATTACAACATCTCCCAGAGAAGAGGCGTCTCAGCATGACTCAGCGCCCGAAGGGGCATTTCTTCCCTTGGGAACTGGGATCTCATTCACAGCTAGAAGCTCAAGGCATGAGCCTGTGAATAATCCTCACCCCAAATATTTCCCAAAAGAACCTTCACCCAAAATACTTGCCCTGTGGCTTTTTCTCCTTTTCCCATAGCAGACATTAACACGCACTAGCCGTTGCAGCCTCCTCCGTACGGGAGCCGAGGAGCAGAGTTTACCCAGGCACAATACAAGCGCCAGTTTAGCTGGCATGGACCTATTACTGTGTAACCAGCTTGCTTGCCTCTGGCCTTGACGGGCTGGCAACTTCCATTCTCTGGTGCAAAGTTCACAGCTAACGTGCAAAGCCTGTGCAGCGTACAAGCACTCACGGCCGAGCAGAGAGAAGGCAGAAAGTCTGCCAACTTCGGCTCCTTTAGACGTGTCCATTTTCAAAAGGCAGCAGGGGAGCAACACGCAATTAGAAGCAATTCCCGTGACTGCCCCCAGGCCCCCCCTTTGCTGCCGGAGCCGCGCAGAGCCAGGCTGGCTCTCGAGCAGCACGCCTCGGGCACTCCGGCGACAGGCTGCTCTCCCGTGGATCCGTGAGCCCAGACCATGCCTAACCCATCCCCTTCTGCGGGGCTGGGGCTCGTGCTGCCATCGGACGCTACCAGAGCGCAGCACTCGGCCAGTGCCGGCCGTGATCACGGGGTTCTCAGCTCAGACCAAGGCTCATGATGGCTCCCTGCCCCAGAGGGAAGATTTCAGGATTTTACTATCCCCACTTCTAGATCTCCCACGTGCTCCCCTCTCGTAGCCCAGACCACCTGACACCAGGCACACGCACTGCCTCCAGCCCCGGAGCTCCTTATGTTGATACCACCAGCTGATCTGGGCAAACTGCCACCTTCCCACATCTTGCCCAGAACTGCTGTGTCATCCCCTCTCCTGTAAAACGCATTTCACATGACGGTTACTAGCCTGGCAGATGAACAGACACTGGACAAAGGGCACTGGAACCCACTGCCACGGCAGAGTCCCAGTCACGTTACTTGGGGGGCTAAGGCGCCTCCCTGCAGAGTCTGAAAGTGAACAGTCTTTCTACTTCCCCTTGGCGAAAGGGCGTATAAAAGGGCAGCTTTGTTATCAAGAGCCACAGTCTAATCTCATATTGAATAACAAAACCCTGCAATTCAACATGAAACCTTAGAGCCTGCTTACACAGGGCCAGAAATGACACACCCCACACTGGCTGGCTGAGGCTAGAAAGTGCTATCCTCAGATACGAGTTCAGGGCGGGTGCTGGGTGTTCCGGCAATGTGGGCTCTAGGGACGTGCGGAAGCATGTAAGTCGTTAACAGTGTAGTTGTGAAAGGAGGAACTGGCTGCTCTTTTGGGGTCTCAAGTGGCAGAGTCTGGCTGGAGGGCCAAACACTCCCTCTTCTTTGGGAACGGCTGCCTTCAGTCTGTTACGTCAGAGGGTAGCTTATTCAGAATGTTTTAAACTGGACAGGTGCAGCATGTCACAGTTTGAGGGGGAGGGGGGGGGGTCACATTTTTCTGGCGTCTGTCCGAACAAAAGCTTTGCTTATCCCCAGGATTAAAATGACTATGAATGTAATGTGAGCTGATAGAGTAACCTGTGCTCCAGAGCTTCGCTAGACCCCAAAGTTGCAATATGCTGAATTATCCAAGCCAAAGTCTATTTAAGTGTTCTTATTTGGGGGGAGGAGGGGAAGAAGGGGGGGGGTTGCACTAGTTTAATTAGAGCCACGTTTCTCAAACCATGGGTCCCAATCCCCAGGGGGTTGCGAGCAACTTGGGGGGGGGAGGGGGTTGCAGTATCACAAAGTTTGAGCGCCCCTGAAATAGTGATGCAACTTCTCTTCAAAGACAAGTGCCTGAAATCAGCGAGGAAGACATGCATGCGTTTAAGGGTGAAGGCCAACATTTACAAGAGACCGGCATTGTTAAGTATTTCTCCACAGATGGAGCAGTGTGAAAAAGGAGCACAATCCTATTGGAAAGGGGCATTTCACTCCTGGTGCCTACCGCGGGGCTTGTGGGCAGAACACCATTTCTTGCCAGTTCAACACCTATTTATTCCCAAGCCACTGTGCCTCCTTTTTGGGGGGTAAACGTGATGTGTTTCCTTGTGTTCTTACACATACTTGGGAAAGTTCTTATTTGGGTCTTGTTTTCACCACAGATAACCTCTTTGCCTAAGAGGAAACAATCGATAACTCACTCCTGTGTGACTTTCAACATGAACAGGTAAGGGAGACGACTCCTTCCTTTGAGTAATGACAATTCCAAATGTTTTTGTGTGTAGTAGAATTTAGGGGTGTAAATCCTGCTTAACCAATTAAATGGGGGTGGGCACGGCAGGGTTAATGCAGACCCCTCCCCCAACGGGCAGTTGCTCCAGCCCACCAGTTAACCCTTCTCATCCCTAATAAAATTAGCGACGAGGAGTCCTGTGGCACCTTATAGACTAACAGATGAAATGGAGCATAAGCTTTCGTGGGCAAAGACCCACTTCCTCAGATGCATCTGATGAAGTGGGTCTTTGCCCATGAAAGCTTGTGCTACAATTCATCTGTTAGTCTCTAAGGTGCCACAGGACTCCTTGTTGCTTTTGCAGATTCAGACTAACACAGCTACCCCTCGGATACTAATAAAATTAGGTCACTAGGCCTGTGTCTACATTACAAGCTAGAGCTGTGATTCCTGACACACATACATCCTTGCACTGCAAACTGAAATTGCAGTGCAGCTGCCAGCATGGGCTGCAGTGGTGCAAATTAGCTGGGCTGAGCACAACCCCCAGAGACACCACCACGCTTCCCTGCCCACCCCGATCTCTCGGTAGACTGTGTTTTGGAAGGGTTGCTCATCAGGAGACGCTTGTAAACTTCTCTCAAGCCTGAGGCATCAGCCCTCTGGCCAGTTGAGCTTTGGAGAAAGTCCAAGTCAAGCACGGAAACCTCCTCCCCGCCCCAGCATGGTCAGTGTAACAGTGACTGAGAAGAACCGGACTCATATGCGATGTGACAAATTTACCTACCCCACAAACACAAGGAACAGGCTGTGCAGAAAGAGTGACCTGCCAGGCCCCGGGTGCTAGTGGGAAGGAGACCTCTGACTCAGAGCAAGGCTGGTCTCCACAAGAGCAGAACTGGGCGCGGGCTGTGTGGGCTTTGGGCTGGTGCTGAGGGTCCCAGTGGCAATAGCCTGAGTGAGGACCGGGCTTCCATAGCCCACCTGCAGGCGTGGCCCTTTGGGTGCAGACAAGGCCGGGGCAGGGAGGAAGAGGCAGAGAACAGGCAGGGCTGGGGGGTGTTGTGCTGAGGGTCCCAGTGGCAATAGCCTGAGTGAGGACCGGGCTTCCATAGCCCACCTGCAGGCGTGGCCCTTTGGGTGCAGACAAGGCCGGGGCAGGGAGGAAGAGGCAGAGAACAGGCAGGGCTGGGGGGGGTTGAATCA